AGCTGCTCTTTTTCAAGAACAGCTGTGCCAGAACTATGGCTTGCCCAAGGTCATCCAGCAGGTGCAAGTGGAGGCCACACAGTATCCATAGGAACTCTCAGTCTGGGGCAAGTGATGCACTGTATTCTTGATGCCTGGGGGGTGGGGACAACAGTGGGAGAGCTCCTAGTGTCCTGGCCCCACTGCTGGACCTCCTGAGGGCACCTGGTATTTTCGGCCACTGTGTGACACAGAGTGTTGGAGTGGATGGGCCTTTGGCCTGGTCCAACACTGGCTTCTCTTATATTCTTATGTCTGGGGCAAGGGATGCTCTGTCTTCTTGGTGCTTGGGGGGAGGGCAACAGTGGGGGGGGGGCTCCTAGTGTCCTCCTGGCCCCACTGCTGGACCTCCTGATGGCCCCTGGTATTTCTGGCCACTGCGTGATACAGAGTGTTGGACTGGATGGGCCTTTGGCCTGATCCAACATTGGACAAGCATATGGAGCAGAGGTCCATCAGTGGCTATTAGCCACAAGGTATAGATAGGGACTCTGGGGCAAGGGATGCTCCGTATTCTTAGTGCTCAGGGGGGTTGTCAACAGTGGGAGGGCTTCTAATGTCCTAGCACCACTGGTGGACCTCCTGATGGCACTGGTATTTCTGGCCACTGTGGGATACAGAGTGTTGGACTGGATGGGCCTTTGGCCTGATCCAACATTGGCATCTCTTATGTTCTTATGTTCTTATGACATTTTTGTGGTTTGTTTTGTGAGCCGGCACATCCTTGGGTTGGCCAGGGCCAAAGGCACACAGTCCTGGATTCTGTGTCCCATGGTGCAGAGCGGGGCACCGTCTGGCCTTGTCTGCGTTTAAGGAGGCATTGGGACTGCCCCTGCCAGGCCAGTTCTCCCGCCGGGAACATCCATCCCACTCGGAGTGGGGTCTTTCTGCCAGGGGTGGTGGTGAGACGGGTGCTGACTCTGGTCGCCTCGTGGGCTGGCTGGGGCTGGTTGCTTGTCCTCTGCTCCTTTTGCGCTGGGCCTGTGGCAGAAGCGACCCCAGGTGGTGCGACTCCTGCGGTGGGCGCCTTTGGCTCCCGGGGGTTCTCTCCCCAGGCCTGCTTGTGGGAAGGGCAGGACAGAAACTGAAACGAAGAAACAGATACAAGAGCGGCTCTGTGGGGAGGCAGGCCTCACCCGCACCGGTTTCTGTGTCCCCGTGGAAACGAGGCAGCGCCTCTCCACCACGCCGGGGCTCCAGCTGCTGGCTCCTCTTCCCTCCCACTTCCCTCCGGGCCTGCCCCCCCCAACAGCCAGTCACCCCAGGGGGGCGGGTATGGGTGGGGACTCTCCCGTGTCCACCGGCTGGAATGGTCACAGCAGGTCACAAGAAGACTTCCACAAGAGTGCAGTGGTTGGGCCCTCCTCGTTGACTGGGTTGCTGTTTCCACGCCTTTTGGTGTCCGGGGGTTCGGGGGGGGGAGGCAGCACTGCCTGCCCGGGCATTGACCGTGGCCTGGCTCTCTGGCGAGTTCATGGCGATTAGGTGCATCCTTCTGGGTGCAGAAATGCATCTTGGGTTTAAGAGCTGCGTTGTCGTTCAATGCATTTCACTCATTCTAAAAGAGAAGGTGTTTCATAGGTGGTTTCTCCAGTACTCCCCCAAATTTCCAGTTTTGCTGTCAGGAAGAAAGTGAAGACGAGACCTTGGGGGGAGAAGCTTTGCCCCCCTCCCCCCCTGGGCTGGCACATCTGTATGCAGAACCTGAAAGTGCAGCTCAGTCAGATGATGCTCTGCGTCCCAGTTTGAGTTTTGCTCTGCCCCAGAAACGTGGGCGCTTCCCTGCTGCACCAATTCTTGCTTGGCTTTTATGGGGAGAATACAGCCCTAGTCAATCCCTGGCACAGCGTGAAGGGGCTGGGGGCTGAGTGGGCTTGTCAGCGGGGACGGCTTCAGTGCCCCGATAGAACTGGGGGGGGGGCTCCCCTCGCCTCCCCTCCGAATCATTCCTGCAACAGAAGCAGCGGGGAGCTACAAAGGGGTTTGCTGATGGCTGATGGCTCCCCTGTGCTGTGTTGGTGACAGAGAGCTGTGTGTGAAGAGCTCTGACCACCTCCCCCACCTTGTAGGAGCTCCAGAACCTGGAGATGGAGCTGGGGCAGGTTCCGGAACGTTGGAAAGATACATGGGACAAAGTGAAGGCCTTCCAGCGGTCAGAGGCCCAGGCAGACTCTAGCAGCCGGGTAAGGAGTCTGGAGCCGGGAGGCCTCGGGGGGGGGGCTGGTCCGGAGGGGGGGGGCGCGATGCCCACTCGCTGTTGTCTGCTTGCTCACAGGTAGCGGCTGGCTCCCTGCTGATGGCCTCCAGCCTGCCACACCAGCGGCGCTCCCTGGGCGTCTACCTGCAGGAGAGCGGCGTCAGCTCCACCATCAACCTCAGCCTGGACAGCGACACCAGCAGCACATCCACCCCGTCCAGTGGGAAGCAGGGGGGCCGCAGAAGCACCAGCACCCTCTACAGCCAGTTCCAGACGGCAGAGAGCGAGAACCGGTGCGGGCACAGCACCCCTCTGGGGGGGGGACGGGGGGACACACACACGACCGGGGCTGTCTGCCCGGGATCTGCTGCCTTGCCATGTCCTCTCCGCACTAAGCCTCCTCTGTCTTCTGCAGGTCATACGAGGGATCGCTTTACAAAAAAGGAGCCTTCATGAAGCCTTGGAAGCCACGGTGGTTTGTGCTGGATAAAACCAAGCACCAGGTGGGAGAGCTGGCAGAGTGGGGGGGCCCTGCCCAGGTGGGGGGGCACACACACAGAGAGAGGGGGGGTCATGATCCCTGTCTTGCAGCTGCGGTACTACGATAGCCGTCTGGACACGGAGTGCAAAGGAGTCATTGACCTGGCGGAGGTGGAGTCCATCGCGCCAGGCACTCCCACCATGGGAGCGCCGAAAATGGTGGATGAAAAGGCCTTCTTCGATGTAAGTCTTCTTTGTGGGTTGCCGCTTCCCCTCGTGCCGGGGGAACGGCCGGCAATGTGTGGAGACGGGATGGGGAAGCCAGAAGGGGATCCCTGCTGGATCGGGCCAGCGAGCCCCACCCCGTTTCAGCCTCTGGTTTCCCACACTCGCTGCCCAGGGGGATCGATCCACAGAGCCGGTGGCGACTGGCTTCCGTGTCTGCCGCCAAGGCTGTTGGGAGATCTGGACAGGCAGTTGGCAGGTGCCATTCAGCGGCCCCGGCTAGGGACAGATATTTCCTTCATCGGTTTGTCTGATCCTCTTGTAAAAGTGATCTCAGCTGAGGGATAGCGCCACGTCCCGTGGCTGTGAGCTCCACGGCTTAGTGATAACGTTGTGTAAGAAAGACTTCTGTTTTGAGGGTTTCTGGCATTTCTGTGTGTTTGGACACTCCCACACTTTATGTCCACACTGAGAACTGTTTTTTAACAAATGAAGTAGCTCCAGTTCTAGTGGAGACCTCTCATATGGACCACACTGCTCTCTTCCTTCCATCATGAGAACGGTCCTTTTACTGCTGCTCCCTGGTTCCAGCCATTCTGCCACTTTCTAATCCATGAGAGGACTCCTGCTTATCCCATGACTGCTAACTTTGCACAGGAACTTTTTGAGAGTGGCTTTTTGAGAGTGACTTTTTGTGAGTGACTTTTTGGAGCACCGATATTTTAGTGCATTGTATTATACTGTATTTTATACTGTTCTTTATATTTTTTTATTATTTTAACCTTGGCATTTATCCCTCTTTGTGAGCCGCCCTGAGCCTTTGGGGAGGGCGGGATATAAATCCAAAAATAAATAAATAAATAAATAAATAAATAATGAAGAACTTTAGAAGTCCAAGTTCATGACTCCGTAGGCTTAATAACTCTATCTTTAATAATGGTTTCCACCCATTCATGCAGAACATGGAGAAGTCACCCGAGGCCAGCTGGCACTCCCTGGTGGGAACCAGAGACGGGGCTTTTCCAGTGGTGGCTCCTCACTGGTGGAGTGCCCTCCCCCTTGAGGCTTGTCTGGCCCACCTACTTTACTGCTCTGTAGGCTACAGGCCAACCATTCCTTTGAGCCCAGGCTTTTAAAGGAAGGGTTCCTCCTTTTTTTGTCTAGGGTTTTTTTTTGTATTTTTCCTGTGTGCACGTGTGTGAGTGTGTGCGTGCCCCTGGACGTCATGCCGACCTCTGGTGACTGACCCCTACTGGGAGCCTGGAGGCTATTCAGAGGGGGGTGGCTGACTAAAGCCTGCCTCCGCCTCCCGCCTGCTGGTATTCCAAGGAGGTCTCCCATCCAAGTACTTGCCAGAGTCGACCCTGCTTAGCTTGCGAGATGATCTGACGAGAGATAAGAACATAAGAGACGCCAATGTTGGATCAGGCCAAAGGCCCATCTAGTCCAACACTCTGGGTCACACAGTGACCAGAAATACCAGTGCCATCAGGAGGTCCAGCAGTGGGGCCAGGACACTAGAAGCCCTCCCACTGTTGACCCCCCCCCAAGCACCAAGAAGACAGAGCATCACTTGCCCCAGACATAAGAACATAAGAGAGAAGCCGATGTTGGATCAGGCCAAAGGCCCATCTAGTCCAACACTCTGGGTCACACAGTGGCCAGAAACACCAGGTGCCATCAGGAGGTCCCCCAGTGGGGCCAGGACATTAGAAGCCCTCCCACTGTTGCCCCCCAAGCACCAAGAACACAGAGCATCCCTTGCCCCAGAGCCCCCCTATCTATGGCAAGATGGGGCTTGCCGGGGCTCTATCCAGGCGGTCAGGGCGGAAGGGCTCCCCCTTCTGAGCTGTTTTGCTTCTCGCCTGAGGCCTTTCAGGCTGCTGAGTGTTGTTTTTATGTCCTGGTCTGGTTTTCATGGCTTTATTGTTGATCGTCCTTGTGACGTCTTTCTTCCTTCTCTGCAGCTGAAGACGACAAAGCGTGTTTACAATTTCTGCGCCCAGGATGTGCAGCTGGCCCAGCAGTGGATCGACCGCATCCAGAGCTGCTTGTCTGACGCCTGAGCGTGTCCTGTTGTTGCCCATCCGGGCCTCAGCAAGTGACGGAGTCTGGACAAGGCGAACGGAGGGTCCACGCAGGAAGGAGAGGCCCCTCTGTCTCTGTGGCCCCGCCCGGGCTGCTCTTCCTGCCGGGTCGGTGTGTGACACCGGGGTCGGCACAGGCTGGGGGGGGGAGCAAAGCAGCAGGAAGCGCAAGTGGAGGAGTCTCCGCCGCCCCACCCCCCAGTACTGCCCTAGAGATCTCGGCTTCCACACTTTCCGGGGGGGGCAGATTATGGTGAGGAGGCCCTTCTTCTGCCTCCTGGAGCTCGCTGGCATGTTCGCTGGGAGGGCCCGCCGCTGCTCTGGCAGGGAAGGAGGAAGGGGCCAGGTGCTCAGCCACTGCGCTGCTGAGGAAGGATGGCAGCCTGAACAGTATTCGAGTCCTGGAGCCCTTGGGCCTTGTGCGTGGCAGCACCAGGGCCGGGGTCCGTGGCTCCTGGCACTGGTTCTCGGGGGAGGAGACTGCCCTCGCCAGTGCACGAGTGGCATGTGGGCTCCGGCATTCTGGATCTCTGGTCTGCTGCCGGCTGTGTGGAAATGGGTCTGGGGTGGGGGTCCGGGGTTGGCAGCCTTGGGTTGGCCGGCCCCTGGATGATGGTGCCACTTCTCCTCGGCTGCTCACACGCCCCGGAGCCTTCAGTAGCGTCCCCGCAGGCAGGCAGGCAGGCAGACCTCTGTCTCTCTGGTGTCCTGCTGGCCACTGAATGCAGCTGGTGACCCCGTGACAGCTTCCCTCCCTCCCTCCCTCCCGGTATCGTATGTTCCCATCCCAAAGAAAATCATGTTGCTGCCTCTCCTCATGGGTTGCGGAGCACCCTTCCTCCACGTGTGTCTGCTGGGTTGGTTTGGCAGAGGCAGTACGATCTCCCCTCCCAGAGGAATGTTTTATCCGAAGCCTTGTACATACTCTTCTGCCTAGTGCCCCACCTCCCCTTTTCCCTACTTTTTAAATTTGTACAATAAAGGCTGAGGCGAGGTAGTGCAGGCTGTTGTGAAATGGAGGGTTTTGTAACTTACCTGAGCGGTTGTAGATTATTGAAGTTTCTGTACATTGTGTCAAACCTACAGAGTCCTTGTATTGTATTGTGCCTAGAGGAAAAAATATATGAAGAGGAAAAAAACTTAATTCAATTTAATAAAAAATAATAATAAATACCACATCTCTGGTCCAGCATGACCCTCTTCGTCTTCTGGGTGGGTGGGAGTCCCTTGGCCAGAGCTCCGTCTTGCCCTGGAATCCTCTGCAAAGTCTCTGTGCCAGACCCTGCCTGACTCTTGGGTGGGGTGGGAGATCTGCATTTGGGGGTGGGGCTGGAATTGGTAGACTGGACACAGCAGTCTTCTGAAGCGGGAGGTGTGTCTTCTCAATGCACCAGAGTGCTGTGCTGGGTATCCTCCGTGCTTTCCTAGATCACGGGTGGGTTGAAACCATTTGACAGGAGGAGTTGCACGCATGCGCTGAGGAAGCCGGTTGCTTGTCCGACCTCTCCTTAGAATAATTAACTTAAAAGCTCAAAAAGAACGTGTTTAGACCATCCTCAAGGTCAACTAAAAGAAGAAATCAACGTAGGAACATCCGGTGAACACAAGGAATTCCACTCTGAAGCTTCACAGGGTAAGATAGCAATTATTTATTACTGCATTAGGGAGGTAACGCCCAGGTCAAACTCCCAGCCCTTATCTGCTTCACTGGAAAATAGCTGTTATTATGGCAAAAAATTTAAGAGAGATCTCAGAACAGATATCAGCATTCCAGAACATGATGATGGCTTCTCTGGAGCAGATAAAAACTGAAATTAAGACAATAAAAGACGTAGTGTCAGAACTGGCAGTCGAGATTAAAGAAACAAAACGGCGATTGCAGCTTCTGAGCTTGCTACAAAAAACAAACAGAGGATTAATCAGTTAAATACCCAATTTACGGAGTTATCAGACAGGAACAGACGAGCAAACCTTATATTTGCAGGGATCTCAGAAGAAGCAATAAGCTCCTGGAAGAAACTCTTAGAGCATGGATTGAAGAAAATGGAGTTAAGGTCCAACCCCAAGACATTGAAAAAGCCCATAGACTGCAAAGGAGAAAGGAAGGAGGAGCCTCAAGGGACGTTATAATTAAATTCACAAGAGAAAAGCTACAGCAGGAAGTATTTAAGACCCTGAAAAAGAAGAAGGACCTGACCCTCAGAGAGAGAAAGGTATGGATTAGAGAGGATTTTTCCCAAGAAACCATTAAGAAGAGAAACCAAATGAGACCCTATGGGCAAAAATTATATGAAAATAATGTGAAATTCTCATGGGGGTATCCTGCTTCAATATTAATATTTAAAGAAGGCAAGAGACTAACAGCACAAAACCCCAAGGAAGCAAGGGAACTCTTCAGGCAACTGGGTATCGATACAGAAGACCTGGGAGAACAGAGAGAGAGGAGGAAGATATGGAGGATGCAGACGGCCCTGGAGAAGGACCTTCAAACAGACGTGATAAAAGACCAAGGACGGACTCACACGAGGATACTACATAAAGGGAAGTATATTAAAGTTTATTGAGCTAGCTTTAAAAATAAGAAGGAAGGGGAGGGTTGGGATGCGTGCACTCTGGAAAGTGTGAAGACGGGATGATGCCTTCATCCTCAGCATTGTCTGAACCACAGGGGAAGGGAGGGGGGGAAGGTCTCATTTAATAACTAAAGTAAAGTACCCACAGCCAGGGAGGACTAAGATTCCAAAAAATAAAGAAAATGGGTAGGTCCTTAAGAATCCTTTCACTGAATGTAAACGGTCTTACCTCCAACCTTAAGAGATTTAGATTAACTAAAATGGCCAGAGAACAAAGGATAGACTTGATGTGTCTACAGGAAACACACACA